TCTTACGTCTCCGTGATTAGAATTTGTGTTCGGCTTCTCGAACAGGCAGCGGTACAGATACCGATACCGATACCAGACACCGATCCCCCTCCTCCTCCAGCTGCGGTGCTAGTGTTAGGTCAGGCGTGTCCACCTACAGGCGGATTTTGGAAGAAAACAAATACCCCCACATAGTCAAACAATACAACAAACACTCCCCAGACTAATGTTTAAACTATGTTTGGGCATTCCTCCTGTAGAGGGACAGGCCCGACTTAAGGATACTGTGCCTGGCTCGGCAAAGGGGCTCTCAGGTAGCGGGAGTGCCTTGGTACGCCCCCCTGAGGGAAGCCAACACTTTCACGTCCGAGTAGCGTTGGCAATGCACTCTGTTCAAGACTGTCCCCTGAGGTGGTCATGCGATCGCAAACATGGATTAAGGGGGCGCGGATTAGCGACGGGTCCCGTTTCCACGGGAAATCGCGGATTTCCGCCGCCGAACGAGGCGGCACCGGTCGCATTTGTGGAGGGCACCTCGCACGATCCATGGATTTGGCGACCGTGCGCCAAATCCAGGATCGCTAATCCATGTTTGCGCGCCCCCGAGGTGAGGGCAGAGGGTGAACGTTGTGAAACCTGCATCGGCGAGGGGGGGGAGGGGGCACGTCGAGCTGGGGGCTTCGGTGCCCAGCTCGGAGTGGCCTTCCGTCGTTGGGAGTAGCGCGGCTCTCGGCTGGAGTTGGGTCGGCATGTCCCCTTACAGGCGGCTTCTGGAGGACAAACAGAACTTGGTCAAAACATACTCAGACATGGTCCAGAATAGTAGATACAACGTCCCCAGACAATGTTTGGACTATGCTTGGAATACTCCCCCTGTAGAGGGACGTGCCCAACGTAAGGGAAGAGTAGTACGCCACCCAGTCGTCAGGAAGAACGCGCACCGGTGTGGCGCTACGGGGCCAGGGCCGTGTCGTGTTCGGGGCTTGAACTCGAAATACGGTTCGGCGGAGAGCTCGTAGCCGTCTGCGGCCTCTGACAGCCCCTGCCGGACTCCGGGGCCGCCTGAAAACGCCTCAGGACGAGAGGTGGGGAATCATAGCCTCGAAACCGACTCCGAAATCATGCCAGAGCCGAAGAGCGTTCCGAAGGCCGCGCGGAATTTTTGCAGGATCCTTGCCGGACAGGTGGCGTGCAATTGCGAAGCGCTGGGTGAGAAGTCGGCAGGGCGTCCCAGACCGAGCCAGGGACGACGGCGGCACGCCCGGGGGGAAGGCAGAGGGGGCGGGCCTCCTCGGAGGGCCCGGAAGGCCCCCAGTCCTCCGAGTCCCGGAGCCTTCCCACGACACACGAGAGACTCCTCGGAAGGCAGGAGCGCTTCTGGTTACGCCCCGCCTCCATCTCGGAAGGCCGGCCCCCTCCAGAGGAAGGAGCAGGGAAGTGTTGATAGACTTTCGGAGGTCCGCGCGGGCTTCTAAGATGGGGTCTGGAGCCCCTCCCTGGCTCGCGGAGCGCGCCAGGGGCGGCCTTGGAAGCGCCGCCATGGGGGTCCCAGCGCAGATCCGAGAACTCCGTGCGGACCCTTTCTAACTTTCTGCTTGTGTTGTTTGTGATTGTTCGACCCTCTCATGATGGGCAAATGTTCCACCACTACCATAGGTAGGAGGAAGAGGAGGAGGAGGAGGAGGAGGAGGAGGAGGAGGAGGAGGAGGGCCTCCCCATCTTCTCCTCCCCCGTCCTACCTATGGTCCTGGCGGAATATGCGAACATCATCAAACTTCCCCCATCGGCGCGCCGCCGGTAACACTCGCGAGCGCGGACGCGACCCTTCATATTCCGAGACGGAATGAAAAACTCGGCCCCCTGCAGGCAGGCTTAGGTCGGGCGTGTCCCCCCACAGGCGGATCTTGGGCGACAACGTGATCATAGTCGAAGAAGCGCGAAATGCTTAAGAACAGGTCAAACAATAGTCCCCAGAATTTGTTTAGATTATTGTTGAGTGTTCCCCTTGTAGAAGGACAGGCCCGACTTCATAGTATATGTGAGGCCCTCTGCCGCGCCGGTCTCGGCCGCGGGCCCCAGGGATCAGGGAAGGCCGAAGACCGGGCACCGGCCTATCGCTCGTGGAAAGAGGGAGGAATAGGAAGGAGGAGCGCAAAAGAACCCAGGATTGCAAAGGATTGCAAACAAAAACCTTTGCAATCCTGGTTTTTTTTGCAATTCTTGGGTGTTTTTTTTGCAATCCTTCGGAGCAGAGGAGAGCGAGGCACGAACAGCACACACCCATACCGACAGGGGGGTCGTTGGGAGGAGGACTGGCTATGGGTATGAGTGCGGGCTGTCGGACCCTGGGGAACGCTCCCGTTCGAGCGGGGACCCCCATCCGACAACACGCACCCTCAACCCCCTCCGACCCCCCTATGGGTATGGGTGTGTGTTGCTGTTTCGTCAGAGAGGGCGTGATGGCACACATCAGGTTTGAGATGAAGAGGAAGAAGACCAGCGTAAACCCACGGCTCATCAACGATGTTGCACTGGACTGTGAGGAAGGCCACAAACAAACATACACAAGGCAAAGCCAGGTCCGGGACAATAGCGGGCCATGACGAACCAGGTCTGAGATCGGGCGCCGCGGCCCATTCCTGAACGCACTGGAGAGCTCCGAGAACGTTCTGGAACGCCCTGGAACGATGCACCCTGGTCCCAGTCCCGCAAAAACGAAGCAGACGCGGCGGCAGCAGATGTGGCAGACTCAAGAGCAGCAGAGCACGACGAAGAGGAGGGAGGAAACTCGGGTAGCTAGGGATCATCGCACCTGGGACTGTTTCAAGCGGGCGCAGAGGACGGACATCTCCCCAGGGAAGCCCGCCACGATGCTGTGGGCGCGCAGTGGAGGGCCTCACGGATCATGCAGGACGAGGATGGGAAGGAGCAGCGGCGAGGAAAGGAGGAGCACAAGGGGCAGGAAGAGGCATGTTCCCCTACAGGCGGCTTTTGGAGGAACAATTTAAGGGTCAGCAAATGTTCAAAAATTGTCAAACATAGTCAAAACATAGTCCCCATATTATTTTCGGGTTATTTTTAATGTTCCTCCTGTAAAAAGACATACCCGGCTCAACACCAGAAACAAGAAGCAACAACAACGAAGAACGCGGAGGTCCGAGAGGATACGGAAGTGGCACGACGTCCACCAACGCGCGATTGAAACAAAACGCCACGCTGCTCACAAGAGCGAGCTTTCCTCCCCGCCAGCACCCGGCTCCGATGTGAGGCGAAAAGGGGCGCGTGAAACGTGGCATCTCGCCCTCAGGCTGCCGCCTGCCGCCAACTACGTTCCAACACAAATCGGCATTGCAATCCGTAACGGCCGAGACTGGAGCCCGCAGCGCAGTGTCTCCCTGTACACGATGGGGCGCCGAGGAGCTCCCGCACACGTCTGGAAGGAGGAACACCTGCAATAACGTGGACTTTCAGAACTGCGCGTGGGTATCTTGGATCGGCGCGGGACCCCCCTCCCTTACGCGCGGAGCGCGCCAGGGGCGGCGCCGGAGCCGCGCCAAGACATCCGCGGAGAGCTTCGAAAGCTCATGTTTATGCATGTATTTATTCCTCGAGCATTGGGTTAGGTCGGGCATGTCCTCCTACAGGCGTATTTTGGACGAAATAAGAAAATACCAGAAAAATTACCCCAGTGCGACCCTGCCTAGAAGTTGGAGCCCCTAGGAAAGCAGCATTAGTTGCTATGCTATGCTGCGCTATGAGATGCTATGCTGCGCTATGATATGCTAAGCTATGATATGTTATGCTGCGCTGTGCTATGCTAAGCTATGCTATGTCATGCTATGATAGGCTATGCTAAGCTGCGCTATGCTATGCTATGATATGCTGCGCTATGCTATGCTATGCTATGATTGGCTATGCTATGTTCTGCTATGCTATGCTAATGCAGCGCTGCGCTATGCTAAGCTAAGCTAACCCTCTAGGCAGAGCCTAGGTAGGGAATTACACCCATGCTAAAGCTCAGCGAAACAAAGATGAAGGTAAGCTAAGTTAAGATAAACCTGAGCTAAGATGAACCTAAGCTAAGCTAAGATGAAATAAGCTAAGCTAAGATGAGATAAGCAACGCTAAGCTAAGGGGACGTAACTGAAGGAACCGCGGGGCGGATACTGGGGGAACCGCCCGGGGCGCTTTCCACTGCCCGGCCCCTTTGAGCCCAGAGAGTAAGAACCCTTCTAGGCAGAGCCTAGGTAGGGAATATTCAAATAGAATCAAGCATAGTCAAACAAAAACATAGTCCCCAGATAATTGTTGGACTATTCTTGAATCTTACTCCTGTAGAGGGACATGCCCGACTTAAACATTGGCCTCGTCAGTCACGGGGGCTGAATGAAGCCTGGGCAAGCGGCGCAGAGTCGGTGTGTGAAATGGGCGCCGGGCGTTGGCGGCATCCTGCTCTGCAGGCGGGCCGCGGTGCAGCAAGGGGGAGACAGCATGTACCCTTGCGTTGTTGCACGGGAACGCTGCGAGGCCCAGTAGTCGTGGCGGCGGTGCTTGGATGAGGAACTAGCACCATAGCAACGACGACGGTGAAACCTGACCAGCCAATTCAGCATGCAGATAGAGAGAGAGAGGGAGAGAGAGATGAAGAGGAAGGCAGGACGAGGATAAAATCGGGTGAGGGAAAATCGTCAATCTTTGCGATCCGGCGGCTCTGCGGGACGTCTCGGGTGCCGCGGCCTCTTCAGAGTGCTCCGAAGCGCTCCGAGAACGTTCCGGAACTCTCTGGAGAGGATCTATCCTCGTCCTGGCCCCGTCCGAGAGAGTGAGAGGTCAGGCCCTCGTGACCGGGACCCCTGATGAACCAGCACGACTGGCGCATCCGAGGAAACTGTAGCCATGGGCCGAGACATCCTCCTATCGCGTTGCTTCCGCTGGATACTGCAAATTCCTGGCTTGCCATGCTCGAAGAACATGATGGGCCTGTCTTCCACCACCACCGCCATAAGGTGGAGGGGGGAAAGGAGGTGGAGGAGGAGGAGGAGGAGGAAGAGGAGGGCCCCCCTCCCCCTCCTACTTATTGTGGTGGTGGTGGGGCTCCAAGGTACCAAAACAGCAACCAAAACAGCATGAGCACAAACGCTCCAAGGTCGGCGCGGGCCCTCGCAACACGGGGTGCCATTTGTCTCCGCTCTCCCGTCGAGGGGCCATGCCTTCCAGCAGGGGGGCGAAGAGGCCGAAGGGAGGAGCGGCGGTCCACATCACCCGGGGGACTCCGCCGAGGTCTGCCTGCCGTCGCCGACGCCCGCGCCGGAGAGGGCCCCCGGGAGCGCCTGGTGCGACAGGCCCTCGGGCGCCTGGCGCGGGGCCGCAGCACAAGACCTCGCCATCGCCCGGACGTCCACTCCACGTGCATGCTTCGATGTCGTGCGTGTTTGTTATTTTCGTTGGCTCGATGACCCAGGATGTTCCTCGATGGCCCTCGCCCAGAGGGGGGGAGGAGGAGGAGGAGGAGGAGGAGGAGGAGGAGGAGGAGGAGGAGGAGGAGGAGGGGGAGGAGGAGGAGGAGGCGGCCGAGGAGGAGGGCGAGGAGAAGGGCGAGGAGAAGGGCGAGGAGAAGGGCGAGGCGGAGAAACTGAGGCGGAAGTAAAGAACACGCCGCCAAAGGGGGGGGGTCGGAGCCATCTCCAGGGAGGCCTCCGCGGAGCGCGCGAGGGGCGTGGCGTCCAGCACCGATCCAAGAAATCCGTGCGGACCTCCAGAAGCTCATGTTCCCTGAGATCCTGGCGTCTCAATTTTTTCGAGCAGGGCGTTTTCGTTCTTCAGGCCCTGGGACCCCTCTCACATCGATCCGGCTCGAAACATGGAACAGACCGATGGGGGTCTAGGACTCGGAGCGTGATGTGCAACGCTGTTCATTTCTTCGTTCGCTACGTCGGACCTCAGGGTTTGTGGGGGGCACTCCCTGCGCCCACGTCCTGCCGCACAGTCGGGGATGGACAGACCCCCCTTTAGTAAAACGTGGTTTAGTGAAAACGACCTGAGGCCCAAACCTGGCGGGCGCACGCCTGGAAAATAGCGGCCACGGCGCCCTCTCGAGAACCGAAAACGGACACTTCACGAATCGACGTGTCACTGTTGGGGGTTCTGTCCACCCCCGACACAGCCCGCTCGACGCAGGAGTCCGCGCAAGCCGTCCTGCCCACTCGGCTTCCGGCCCGGGCGCCCCTCCCGGCCGGCCCCAGGACGGCCCTCGCACCGCAGGGCACGCACCCATGGGGGGGGGAACGGCACTGAACGCCAGGTCGTCTCGCAGACTTGACCTCCCCCATGCTGCGCTGAAGCGCCGGCGGGGTTGCGAAAGGCAGCATGGCGGGAGAGGGACAGGGAAGAGGGAGGACGGGAGAGGAGGGGGCAGAACGAGGGAGGAGGGGAAGGCGGGAGGGTGCGAAGGATGGGGGGAAGAGGAAGGGATATGGGTGGAAGATGGGTCAGAAGGGATCAGAAGAGGATCAGACGGTCATGGGCCAGAAGGGATCATGGAGGGAGGAGGGGGGTTAGTGTCCGTTTCATGGAAGCCTGCGTGGCCCCTGGCGCTGTCCGATTTGGGCCTGATTTGGACCACATTTGTACCAGAATTGGACGAGATTCGCCCCTTCACAAGAAGGGAGACGACAAGAACGAGGCGGGGGAGGAGGAGGAGGAGGAGGCGGAGCGGAGTGCGGTCCAAATGCAGGAAAAACTGATTTCAATGTCGCCGCCCAAGACTCCCATGAACAGACATCGAAAGGGGGGGATAAGAGAAAAGGGAAACCACAAAGGACTAGACGAGGAAAAAGGACGAAAGAGAACGGACTCAGACCGGAGGCGGGGGGAGGAAGGGGGAGGGGAAAGAGAGAAAGGATGAAGGGGCCCTGGGATACACAAATAAATACACACAGTTAACAGGATTCCCCATATTTTTCCATATCTCCTGGGTTCCTGTCTTCCCCCCCACTTCCCATATTTTCCTATATTTTCCAGGCATCGACGATTAATTGTGTCTGTATGTTTTTTCCCCCTCCTGAAGAAAGGACGGTGGAAGGAGGGAGGGGTAGGGTCAAGAGGGCCCGCTTCCCCCTCTATTTCGCGTGCCCCCTCACCCCTAAGAGAAAAGCACACCCTGATGGCCGGCGCTGCCGAGGCGACCGCCGCGGGACACCGCTGGCCCCCGCCCGACGGCGCGCAAGGCACCGGAGGGGCGCCACCCCTCCAATGCAAACGTGATCCCCTTTCCCTTCGGTCGGGCATGTCCTCCTACAGGCGGATTCTGGCAGAAAAATGAGAATTCCCAACGAATACACGAAAATGGTAAAAAATAGTTTAAAAAAATCGTCCCCTGACTATTTTGAACTGTTATTGAATTTTCCTCCTGTACAGGGACAGGCCCGACTCAAACTTTCCCCCCTTCTCCCCGCGTTCCCCACAACCTCGTCCTCGCCATGGCTCGGACGACTATTCCCCATGCATGTCTCGGTGTCGTGCGTGACGTTTCCCCCGGCAAGGTGAACCGCCATGCTCTTCGACGGTCCTTTGCGAGAACCAATGCGCACGTCCAAGAGGCTTACCGCAGAACCCCAGGAGGCCAACAACTTGTTAAATCCCAGGAAAGCTACCGAACTTTGCTCGTTCGCTTCCGAAGTGCGTCTGAGGACTCGAAGGCTTCCCAATGGTCTCGGAGAGCCCCCCTTGGCCCCCCCTGTCAGCCTCCTCGTTACCCGATTCCCAGGGGGGAACATGTGCATGACGGAGTGGGGCCCTGGTGGAAGCAAGTCCTGGACCTCTGCCGATGCCGACGATGGGCCTTTCCAGGACGGGTTCTTGCACACACGAGATCGGCAATCATGCCCATCGTCGGGCAATCCAGCCCGCAGCATCCCGCAAACACCATGTTTGAGCCCCACACGTAAGGACAATGGGAAAGGGTCGATAATATTAGGATCCGCCACTGTGCCCTCGAGGGACGAGTCAGAATGTTCTCAGGTCCTGTGCTCGATCCCCTGGAACCTCAGTCCTCAATCCTGAATTTGTTTTGTAGGGGCCCGGGCACCCAAATTTCCAAATCTCCTCGGGTTCGTCGCGTGCGTCCTGGGTTAATCTTAATTATGTCGAAGGCCGTTTTTTCGGAACCAAGAAGGCCCCACGACGGGCAAAGAGGCCTCAGGAAACCTCCGAACCGGCTCAAGAGGGTTCCGAGTCGCCGATAAAGATCGTTCCAAGACGCTCCAGGTGGCCTCGAAGTGGCCCAAGACGCCTCCAAGACGGTCCAAGACGCTACCCAAAACGGCCCCAAGAGGAAAACGCATGTGGATTTCATCGGGTGATTGAAGGGTGTCGGCCTTCTCGCCTTTTCGGTTTCCCGACGCTCCAAGACGGCCCACGAGGCCCCCGAAATCGTTCCAAAACACCCAACAACAGGGCCCCAAACCGGCTCTGGAGGGCGCCAAAACGGCCCAAGAGGCCCCCAAGACGGCCAAGGAGGCCTGCAAGACGGTGGAGTCCTTACAAATGGGGTCGGAGCAGATGGGGCCGGATGGTCGCGCCGAATCCTCGATGCATCGCCGAGGCATCTCGGCGATGCCGGTGTAGAACTACCCCAGCAAAGCACCCGAATGGCAGCTAAGGCGCGGAGGCTGAACAGGAGTGCTGATGATGCTGACGATGGCGATGAAGCCCTTGGTGCTGAATGGTGTCGTTGCTGCTGCTGCTGTTTCTGTCGATGCTGCTGCTGGGATGGGGGCGGCGATGAGGATGATTGGCGTGATGAATAGAAGGCTCTTCCTCAAGCACGCCAGGAAACACTTTTGTCGCCCGAGCGGGCCGGCGCGAGAGCCGTCCGATACGTCGCAGGCCGAGCAGCGCAGTGGTCACGAGAGCATGGGCGCAACAGGCTGAACAGCACCGCGGTGTCGAGAGCACGATCGCAACAAGCCGAGTAGCGCCGTCGCGAGAGCTTGGAACGCATGCTCCCCAACCAGGCCGCGGTGGCCAGTGGACATGATATCACCCAGGCGAAGCGGCGGTAGGCTCGAGAGGCAAATGACACGGCACGGGCCGAGCAGCGCCGTGGTCGCGAGAGCATGGCACAACAGGCTGGGCAACACCGCGGTCGAGAGAGTATGGCCGCAACAAGCGGACAGCACCTCGGTCGCGAGAGCACGGGCACGCCACCAACGCACATTGGGGGCGCAAAACGGCGCGCCTCAGTCGCACCTCGCGGCAAACAGCAGTCCGGAAGGCCCCCCCCGCCCACCCCCAACAGGCGCGCCGAAAAGCGCGCGGGCTGCCCTCGCAGGCGGCGCGCCAGCGTGCCCTACCATTTGCGACGGCGCCCTCCGCGCGAGGGCACCCCTCAATTGACGCGGTCCGCACAGCGACGGCGAGACGGCGCAGACGCCGCGTGCGCTCCACAGCGTTCTCGGCGCAATCGCTGTCAATGCGCTGCAGAACGCGGACAAAAACAAGTTCGGGGTTTGCGCGCGCAGAAAAACGCCAACGCAGACCGGAACATCTGACCACGCGGCGGGGTAACTCGAACGCCGTGGGTCCGTCCAGCGCGCAGAGACCACTGCCACTCTATGAGTTAATTAATGGAACCCACCATGAATTAAGGAGGCCCCGTTTCGATGTCAGTGTCTGGCGAATTCCGTGGATGGTCATGAGGGGGCTCGCGCAATGGCGCGGGGGGCACGCGGAAGTTGGGCGGTCACTGGGGGGGCTTCGATGGGCGCGGGGGACTTCGACCGAGTTCTGGATCGTTGAAGAGGGCGATATTGACATGGGGACATGGGGGGGGACGGGGAGGATTGGGGGAGTTGGGTGGCCGCGAGGGGCCGACGTGGAGAAGTTTGTAACGGCCCTGCCAGATTCCGCAGCCATCAACCACTCCCACGCACCTTGCGCCCGCGCTATGGCCCGCCTGCGGCTCGAGGGCGCCGTCGGTTCAAAGTTGGGGTGGCCGCCGCAATCTCGCGGGCTTCGCGAGCTCGCGGGGGGGTCTCAACCTGAGAGGGGGGCGCCCCCGAGCCCCCCGCGCATCGCGCGCCGCCGTGTAGCGCGCGGGGCCGCGAATAAGCCCCGCGAGGATCATCGAGGCATCCGCGAAAATCGCTGCTCCAGGGGGGCAGGGATGCTCTGAAATCGAGCTGGTCTGGGCATCTGAGCATGACCAGGGGATGCTGATGGGCGCGTCCTCGGGCGCACGGGGACGCGCGTCGGATTCTGGGGCCGCGGGGGAACGCGGATGACATGAACGGCCCGCGGAGTCCAGGGGCACCGCAACGTGCAGGCAGCGTCAACCGCCCCAAATCGCAAGGGT